TGCAAGCGCAGCCCAGTCGGGACCGCCAAGCACGCCCTCTCGTCTTTAATCTCAGAAGCTGCAATGTGGTATGCTGCTAAGTTCAGACAAAAGATGGCGGCACAAGAGTTTGCGGATAATCCAATCCAATCCAGACAGGTTGCCCTGGCTTCGCTTTGGCATGCACACGTTTCTTTGTCAGTTACTACTTGATAGCCCTGACACTGATGAGAATGAATGCAAAGAGGGCTTCCTACAACTTGAAGTTTCAGCGAATTCTAATCTCGTTAGCCAAGGACAATGGCAATCACAGTGCTGCCGCAGAATTCGGCATGGACCAAGCCTGCATCATCAAGTGAAGGAAGCAGCGGGACCAGATTCTTAAGGGCGGCATGACTCTCAAGACCGCACAAAGCGGGCACCCTGAATTCAAAGAGAAAGTTTGCGAGTTTGTTCGCAGCGAAAGAAAAAGGGCCTTCGCTGTCACTGCCGATTCTGCCCAGACGAAGGCAATAAAAATCGCCAGGAGAATGGAGATTCCCTATGTGGTGCTCTCCTGGACCACACAACTGCCGGTCCCTGAACTAAATTAGGAAATCTGCCAGTTTTTTCGCAGCGAAAGAAACGGGCTGTCACTGACGATGCCATCCAAATGAAGGCGATAAAGATCACGGGGAGAATAAAGATTCCCGGTGCGGTGCTCTGTGTGGTGCTCTGTGAGTGGAGTGCATGAAGCAAGGGAATGAATTTTCTTTGAGATCCTGGACTACAATATCTCAAAAGTTGCCAAGTGATTTTGATGACAGACTCATTGTTTTTTAGCAACATGTGTGGAATCTTCGCTGACTAAACAGCAACGATTTCAGCCAGATCAGCAATGCCAATGCGACACCCGTTTTTTTGGACATGCCGAGAGCGTGCATCGTCAACAAGGTAGGGCCTCGGGACATGAGAGTGAGGATGACAGGGTACGAGAGGCAGCGCGTCACAGTGATGCTGTGCATCACAGCTGACGGCCACAAGCTTCTGCCATACATAATACTAAAAATTAAATCATGCCCTAAAATGAGTGTTTTCTGAAGGATGTCATCATCTAAGTCCAGGAGAAAGGATGGATGACAGCCGAGCTAATGGAAGATTTGATCCGGGTTGTGTGGCAGCGGCGCTCGGGGGCACTGCTTGGGGGAGCTTCAGGTATGCGGTCCATGCTTGTCTTAAATGCTTTTCGCAGACACTTTAACCTCCCCCCTCCCCCCGATATGAAAAGCAAGCTGCTCAAAAGCAACTGTAACTTGGTCGTGATTACAAAAGGCATGACACCATTGCTGCAACCCCAGGACGTAACAACAAGGCATTCAAGGCCCACCTTTGACAGGAGTACGAAAAGTAGGTCTGGAACCCCTATGGAGAAAAAAAAAACATCAACGGGAAACTTGGAGAAAGCATCCCCATTCACCATGGCAACATGGATTTCGGACGCGTCAAAACGTATGAAAGTTGACGTCGTTGCGAAGTCGTTCAGAAAGTGTTGCACCACAAACAATTTGGATGGCACTGAAGATGATCTGCTGTGGGACACCGAGAGTGATGGCACGAATTGTGCGATAAACATGAGCAGTGCGACGGATTCGAGCAACAGTGAAAGTGACTGACCTGCTACACGAATGGTGTGTTCACTGTGCGCACCTATTTTAGATGCGAAACAGTTATTTGACTAGCCTGTGTAACACTGTTCGTCCATGTCTCCGTGCCAACGCGCCACACTGCGTTCCCTTCACTGCAGCGGTTGGAACGATGGCAAGTAGGTCAAGTCACAGGTGCGTGTCGACGTCACTCCCTCCCTCACCCGCAGCAACTGCCGGTTCCTCCCAACACACCTAGGTGGTATTGCTCCTTCGCCGGCTCCCAACATACTTCTCTCTCACCTCACCCTCTCCACCACCCGCAATGCCCGACCACACGTCGTGCGGAAACACTGTTTTGGCTCATTTATCATTCCATTCGATCATGAGTATTTTTTTTTTCATTTTATTTTTTCATGTCTTTCCATTACTTTTTTTATGACTGTTGGTTACTTTTTCATGTCTGTTGGGTACTTCTTTATGTCCATTGGTTATGCCACCAACAACAACAACGCTCAATGCAGCAGTGGACATGCCTTTAAAATATTTCACAAAACTTTAGTGTATTGTCAAAACTATGCGCAGGCCACAGATAAGCGAGTTTATTCTAGATCCAACACCAGCACCAGCCATAACACTGGAAGGTTAGGTAAAGCATGTACAAAAGCTGGTGCACTTCACATATGAGCAGATAACCCACAACAAGTCTGTGCTTGTTGCTTTAGCTGTGATTTCAGTGCTACTTCCATTAATGATGAGGAAACAAAAAACTCTACGCCTGCGCAAAAGGCACAGCACAGTCACAGTGAAAGCTAGAAGAGCAGCCTTTCAGAGCCTTTCTTTGACACTCATTGGATAACCGCAGCAAGCACACTTGCTGCGTACCCACTATGGCAATATTAATAATGATTTCTGGGTAGTAGGCCGGCATTCGCTATGCTATACTTTTTCATGCTTTTGAGAAGCGTGGTATCCACTTAACACTTGCAAAGAATTTTGTGCCAATTGCTCTTCTAAAACGCTTTGTTACTCAATATTAACGAGATTCCTTCGCCGACATCAAACCTGCCTAAGGCAAGTTTGCGAACAAGTCGCAAGCACCGGCACAGCTCAGTGGTAGAATACTGGGCTGGCACGCAGCAAACCTGAGTTCGATCCCCACTGTGTCCTTGGTAGTATGTTTTTTTTATTTTGTGCAGTAGTGGTTACAGACACCGACGGGGGCGGCGCACCACTACGGCGCCGCACGTGACTTGAGGTGTAATCTTATAACAGCTTTCACCATTAAAAAAAAGCTTCACACACACACACAAATGTATTTATATTATAAGGAATGAGACAAAGAGACAATGCCAATACACTAGGCTGGCTGTTTTTTCTCTGCCTTTGTTCTTCTTTTTTTCTAGATGAGCATGTGCCTGTGCCCAAGCACTGCTTTGTCATCATTAAACTCGGTTACACTGCATGCATGCAGTCCTGCCGAAGCCGGCCCTTCTCTGGGGGGGGGGGTGTCTTTGAAGATGGAAACACTAAGAGGACTTGAGCCGTCAATGACCATAGGTAAAAATGATGACTCTGGTGGGCGGCACGGGCTGCCTTGCAGAGCCTGGTCACAACCAGTGTGCGTCCTGTTTTGAAAACTAGGCAGTGATGGCTCAGGTGGAAGCCAATGACTATACATGCTGGTCGTCACATGGCTATTGGGAGAGTTGCCAAATTCTTTCCCAGCGAACTACACCAGTGAATTCAGACAGGCTGCAATACGTGGTTTACATGGTTTGATGCAGGAATCTCTGTGCTGCCAGCATATCACGCTCCTGTCCCACTGAGTCTCTGTTCCCTGAGATTCTGTAACATGGCTTTCAGACAGGTGAATGCCACCATGGCTGCACACCAAGCTGCAGACGCCAGGGCTGCACAAAGACGTCATCTCCCTTCTTGTTGTGAGCTAGTTGCAGTCTCGCCAATCAGTGTCTGATTCCTCATCGACACAAACACTTTCAGGGTGATTCACACAGCATTCAGTTGGTAAGCTGCATGTCATAAGAAACTGTCCATCATAGCCAGTCGAGCCGCACGGCAGGAGCCACAAGGACTAACGCTGGCTTTATCTGGTTGCAGCGCATTGGCCAAGGCATGGTGGGCAGATGCCGACAAAACAGTCACATTTTCAACAAATGTGTCGTCGGCATTCATAAATTAACAGATCAAAGCACTCGCATACTCGGTCAATGAATGCCGTAACGTTCGTGGGTGTGGCTCAAATGTAAAAGGGCCAATTTTGTTCGCATTTTCTGACCGATCTGGCTTGTGGCGTACCCAAGCTGTACGGCAGCAGCTGGTGCATCGACGTATAAAAGTGATGAGGAACATGAGAGCAGCCTCCCTGACTCATGTTTGTGGCAATTCCTTTGAGTGCCTTACGCTATGGTGCTGGCATCGCTTACCGACGCACATTCAGAAGGCTGTAGTGATGTGCAGCATCTGGGGTAAGTTCTGCCGGCAGAGAAGTCGATGACATTCTCTGTGGAGGCGTCATAAACACAGCTTCAGCGTCTGGATGATGCCCTTTACAATCTGGGTCATCAAGGCATGGCAGGGTGATGGTGGTTACACTAGCCATGTCGTGAGTGTCACAGCCCTGAGCCATGGCAGACGATGATTACTCCAGAGGGGGAGAAAAAGACTAGTAAACTTCATATATCATTCAGATAAGAACAGCTTTAACATCTTCGTAGACATGCCCTACTTTGGCAGCATCGTGAAGGTGGTCAATGGCCGGCCGCCCACCATTTCTAATGGTCCATCCAGCCATGGCAATTTCCAGGCGAGTTGATGATATTGATCTACAGAAACACGTCTTGGAAGCCTCGGAATTCTGGCGATTCCCAAGCAGCCACTGATGGTAACATTGTTTGGCATAATCTGGAAGTTCCCTCGCCCAAACGTGCTAGCTTCTTAGTTATCAACGATGTCTCCTGCATGATGTGCGCATGCGACGTCGTCCACATGAAGTCAGTATCTGATACCGACATCAGTATGAAATACCACTGTCGCCACAATGATAAGTGGTACACGCTGTACACATTGATACTTGACACACTGCAATTTGGACAATAGATGTATGTAATCTCTTTATATAATCATGTCGCATCACTACTGATTGTCATTGTGAATGTCCTAAAACATCTTAGAAGTGAATATAATAAGTTTACAGAATGTGTGATATGCTTCCGTCTTAGATGGGAGAATTTAAAACAGAGGTTGTCGATAGCTCCAGCAACATTCTTTGTTCACCCATCTCCAAACCTCCAGTATACCCTGAACTATTAAATATTGTTTGGGCACCTGTCCTATACACGTTAAGGGGGCTGAGCACATAAAATATCATGTACTCACGATACTCTGCACACGATGGCATCTTCATCGTCCTCTGTAACCATGAAAGAATAAATAACAAGCAATTACACAATCAAGACCATGCAAAGCATAAGATATGCAAATATGAACTAAGTTGCAATTATGGCTGGGTCCATATTAAGTGCACCAAGTCAATTTTCGACCATCTCCGATCATGCTGAAAAAATCGTGCAGGTATATGCAAATATGAGAAGTAGTTACAGTCGAGCCCACATATAACGGCCCCACTTAAAATGAACTTTCGCTTAAAACGAACAATATCCGCATGACCGTGAAAAGATACATTGGTTTAATGGCACAAAATCGCACTTGCAACGAACATCTCCGAGCGCCGCTGATCAGTTACAGCAAACGGAATCAGCGGTCTGCCCACTTCCCTGGAAACCGATTTCGACCACCAATCAGGCATCGACGAGGTGCCCATGCATTCTTATTGTTAAACCCTGACCCTGCCTCCGCGCCCCTCTTGTTGCCGCTCTCCCTGACCGCTTTTTGCTACGCACCTCTCCGTCCTTTGTCCCCCCCCCCGCTACTCTGAGCACCCCACATCGCCAGACGAGGCCCATGTTTTCACACTGCCACCAATCTTTCGAAGCCCGGTCGGCCATCTACACTTTTTTGATTGCTGGTACTGTCGTTGGCGTCGCCGGCCTGGAGTGACCAGACCATTGGCCAACATCGTCGGCCACCGACTGTATCCAATAGTCTGCGTCTCATGCATGCGTATACGCTACCCCACCGACTCTGATAATTTGCGATTCGTTTCATGTTTCGGACTTGTTCTCGCTCACTTCACACTCAACTCAGCATGCCTTCCGCGCGCGTGCGGAAGCACAAAAACGGCTGGTAATTTGCGCGAAATGAATCGCGAAATATCGAAGTTCGTGAGGACACGCAAACCCGCCGGGGCAACAAAACGATTTTTTGACCACGGCCGCCGATTCTTGGGAGTCTACAGGATTCTTGGGAGTACACCACCGCGCGCACCGATTCAGGCGGCCTTGCACTCTTTCCAAGTTTTTCTACGTGGGAGTTTCGCGGACCTTTCAAGCAAGCTACCTAACCTGCCACCTTCTCGTGCGTTTTGGTTTTCAAGGTCGCCCTCCCGCCGCATCGTCCCCTCTCTTTATCGCAACTCCTTCGCCCGATGATGATGCCGACACTGCGAAACCGTGCACGGATTTGGGCACAGTGAACGAAGTACGTGGCGAGAGCAATTTGGAGGAATCGGATTGCGAGAACGACGAAACTTTGGAGCCACTGCCTCATGCAGCTTATGCCACGGGCCTCGGCGAATGAGTACCCTGCCGTTTCAGATGAACTCGAAACCGCCCATATCACTTTTGTTCTTCAAAACACGTGCATCACGGACTTTTTGCGGCAAAAAAGTTTGAAAGTTTGCGTTTTCACTCGCACCTTTTTTTAAAAGCTGTGTTTCAGTTACTACGAGCTTCAAGATGCAGCGAACGGATGCCGCATCACGCTCAGGTTCGTTATAAGCGGGCTTGACTGTATTAAGTTAAGAAGTTATAATCTGCAAAAGAATTATGTGCTGCCTAGAGAGTTCTTCAAACTTTGGGCACCCAAGTGAAACTATGTCACGCTAAATGATTTATATATTACTGCTGTAAACAATTATTACAAAACAACTTTTTCATTATTCTTAAGGGGCTACTCTTTCATGACTATGATAGTTCATTCATTTATGTTTTAGTTTTTTTTTCTCTTTCACTTTGGCAAAAAATTGCTATACTGTGTGTTTTGCACTTTTTATGAAAAGTATTTTTTTGCCAATAATATATTTACATTTTCTGCTTTTCATATTCCTATATTAAATGACCGAATACTTTGGGAGCAAATGAAGCAAAAATGTTGTCAAAGTATTTTGACAGATTTGGGGAAAACAGCATTTCGAATCATACTGCAGCTTGATTTGGAATATTTTTAACGGTCCAAGTAAAAATATGGATTTTATATTTTTGCACAGTATTCTTTGTCCGTAAAGTAAACAAAAAGTTTTAAAAGAGTAGTTTTCGTTTTAAGGGAGAAAAAGATTCTCTAACTGAACAACCACAAGATAGTAGGAAGCCTGCCTCTGCCTCACCTTAAGTGAATAGCCCGTCAGTGCAGAATAATGCATGTCACACAACCACTTGTCACTTGTTTTAGGAATACTGCTGAGTTACTAAAACTATATTACTAAAACCTCAAAACTGGGTAGTAGTGTTCCTTTGTAGAACAGTATCTTTCCCCTGAGACCATCAAAAGGCCGGTTATATTTAACCGCTTCTTAGTCTGAAGGATCAGAATTAGAGTGCAGTCTTTTGCCTGCAATACAGTTCTGAGCCGTTGTGTTTGGTTTTTGAAAACTGTTTTCATGGTGTTTCAGATACAGGCCATTGCGTGATCACTTACCACAGGGGTGCATGATCCAAGACACATTAGAGATGATTTGATATCATGCGGATAATTGATACATTAGTCACCATTTACACAGGGATTATAACATCTTTATTCCCCCTTCCTTAATGGTTTGAATGTTTTGAAAATGTTTTAACTAAAAGCCCGTCTGGTAATGATGACGTGCTTTCAAAGTTTTCAACACCCTAGTACCATTGGAAAGATATGGATGAGAAGCTTAAATGACAAGCAAAAATGGCAAATTAACTGTCATTTACAAGCACCATATTGAATTATCTGCATGCACACCTAGGATACATCATTTCATCATGCACACCAGTGGTAAGCGATGACGGATTGGCCTACACCTGGAACATCATAAAACAGCTTAAATGAAGAATACTTTCATTATGTTGTTAATTATTATTAAAGCCACGTTAATTGTCAGAAAACAAACACAACACCTCAATACTGTATTGTGGGCCATCAACTGCATTATAATTCTGCTCCTTCAGACTAAGAAGCGGTTCAATACGTTTGATTCGCCCTTTGATGGTCCAAGAGGGAAGATACTGTTCCATAAAAAAAGCGCTACTGCCCAACTTTGGGGTTATATAGAGCAAAATTACAAAAACAGGTGACAACCAGTTGTTTTATATATAGTTATTAGTTGCCAAAAAGCCCATGCTGGAACCTCGCGCTGACTTCTATGCAGTGAAGGTGAGGCAAAGACAGGCTTCCCCCTACCTTGTGATTGTCTAGCAGGAAATTTTTTTTTTCTTCCTTAAAATGAAAATTTGTCTTTTCAAACTTTTTGCTAATCTTACAGACAAATTATACTACGAAAAAATATAAAAGCCATATTACGGGCATTCATTAGGCACATCTGCCTTCTTCATACATGTTCATCATCATGAGTGGTCGTCGTCTTCTTCTGCCGGAACTCGGCTGGCCTGTGTTTTGTGCTTCGGGTGTGGTAGCTTCATCATGTCTTCGGGGCCTTCACTGGTGTGTCAAAAGTGATATAGGGCGCTGAGCGATCTTCCGCCCTCTCCTAGCCCACTCTACCTCCTGGAGTCCCGCTCAGGTCGCTGTCTGTGCCAGGTGTTCGGTAACATTCCTCACGACAAGCCAACCGGCGCTCCTGCACCTACCTCCACAGCCCTGGCTGCCACAGTCTATTCACCGTGGATTATCACTGGGCAACAGCATAATTTGCCCATTTTCGTCGGACTCTGAAGTGAAGATGTGGAAGATTGGTTGGGCCAATTCAATCGAGCGAGTTCAACTAACAGGCGATGGAGATTACAAGGAGAATGGAGATTTCCCTCGCTGTGTTGCATGCTATCCTTGGCTGGGCAAAGCGCATGATGCGAAAGAATAGGTTTTCTTTAAGATGCCAGACCACGATATGCCAAAAGCTGCCAAGTGATTTTAACAACAAGCTCATTGCTTTTCAGCAACATATGCTGGATCTCCGCAGACTCAACACCTATGATTTCGGCCAGATCGGCAATGCCGATGAGACGCTCGTTTTTTTTTTCTATATGCGAGAGCAAGCACCGTTAACGAGGTAGGAGCCCGGGAAGTGAGGGTGAAGACTACAGGGTACGAGAAGCAGCGTGTCACAGTCATGCTGTGCATTACAGCTGACGGCCGCAAGCTAACACCCTACATAATTCTGAAAAGGAAAAACATGCACAAAAATGAGTGTTTTCCTATGGATGTCATCGTCCGAGTCCATGAGAAAGGATGGATGACAGCCGAACTAATGGAAGATTGGATCCGGGTTGTGTGGCAGCGGCGTCCTGGGGCACTGCTTGGAGGAGTTTCAGGTATGCGGTCCATGCTTGTCCTAGATGCTTTTTGTAGCCACCTCACCCCGGGTGTGAAGACCAAGCTGCTAAAGAGGAACTGCGACTTGGTCGTGATTCCAGAAGGCATGACATTAGTGCTGCAACCACTGAACGTCTCGGTAAACAAGTCGTTCAGGGCCCTTCTTCGACAAGAGAGTACGATGAGTGGATCCGGAACTCTGAAAAAAAAAAAAATGCCGACGAGAAAGTTGCAGAAAGCGTCCTCGTCTACCGTGGCAACATGAATTTCGGATTAGTGGAAACAAATCAAAGCCGACGTTGTCGCGAAGTCGTTCAAGAAATGTTGCATCACGAACAACTTGGACGGCAAACGAAGATGATCTGCTGTGGGACACAGAAAGTGACGGCTCGAATGGTGCAACGAACTCAAGCGGCAGTGGTAGTGACTTAACTCATATACAAGTGGTGGGTTCACTGTGTGGACCTATTTTTCTTTTCATTTTTTTTTAATTAAATTCGATTTCTCATGTCAAGCTCGTTGATATGTTAAGGGGGTGGGGCTGTGCGGTCATTTCTAGATTTTTTTTAATCAAAGCATTTGCTTTCATTGAAATTAGGTAGATGAAATAAAATTAACGGTAGAGAAGCTTGAAGAAGCTATGTGCCTCACATCGCGAAGAAATGAAGAGCTTAAGAATCGAAGCAGGCGAAATAACCTAATAATATATGGTATTGAAGAAGCCGTCTCCGAAACAACTGAAAGTCTAACCATTAATATTGAAGAGAACTTGTTCTT